GAGTGTCATTCAGTGAAATGGGTGGCACATACCGGTCCTTTCCTTCCTTTTTTCTTGTTAGGACATTGTTTACATGTATACATACATGTACATGGACATGTATAGGCCTACATGTACATGTACAAAAATACATTATGTGAACTCATAGGTAACATACATGTACATGCACGGCACATGTATGCAGCTCTGTTTTCCTATTTAAAGTGCATTTGTGTAGAATAATGTAAGTGAACATTTGCCCTTTGCCAATTTGATTCCCATCCCTCCTCCATGTACTGGTACAAATGTGCATCCCAAGACATGCGATGTGTACGTGCAGAAATGATGCTGATTTTTTTCCTTTTGCTAGAGGGCAACAATGAGCACTGGAGCAGATAGATTTAATAAGCCTCATTCTGGTTATTAAACTTGAGATTCTCCCAAAGCATCTTCATGTATGACTGGTGCGATTTCTGAAATACATTCCAGGGATGAAGATGCAGTTCAGTGGGTGATGGGGTTGATCTCCCATCGACCTTTGGTTCGCTACGATTTCTTTTTAACCACTTTGCGCCGGGATAATTTTGACATTGACCGGACCCAGGCACGGGATTGTTTTTCACGAGCCTCGATCTGCAGGTAGCACAACCTGATATTTCAGGCCCCGCTCGCTGCGAGTCGGTGGCAGACAGATATTTCCAGCCTCGCTCGTTGCGTGTTTATCCATCATCCGTTCCGAATACCGCAAAACCTTTGCCTGTATACATGTCATCCAACGTGAACTGGTCAAGTTGCTGTTTTGTGTTTTTCCACTCCTTTCCGTACAATAATTTTCTGTGACTTTTCTTCTTGAAACTGTTAAAAGCGTGTACTTAAAACTTTGAACCAACATCAAATCTGATCCTGAGGTGTGCATATTACAAGCGATTCAAGTTAGAAATTTCGACGAAATTTTATGAACAATAACTTGTCAACTGAAGTAAGTACCGTCTTCATTTTGTGTGAGGTGGTAGACATGGTATTGCCTTGGTCTACATTTTATATTTCTGGCACGAAACCAGTTGACCCTTACTTCCGGAGTAACCAGAAGTGCAACGATAAGTGAATGTAACTTGAAACGGAAGCATTAATTTCTACAATGATACAAATTCAGCAAATGTTTATTGAAAGATGCTAAACTCAAAAAAAGTCATGATGACGTCATCGCCCAAAAGAGTGCACTCTAGCAGCACCTCAGAGAAAATTTCTTTTTTTTGTGAAAAAAAAACAAATTGTCAAAATGTTACCAAATTTCTTTGGACAATAAAAATGTATTGTTGTGAAAACTTGAAAATGATAGTGTCTGTGTTCTTTTATTTAAATCAATCTTCAGTACCCATACGGGATCATTGTTGCCAAAATAATGATTCAGCTATATTATTGACAATGGGGATCCTACATGTAATGCTGTGACATCATTAGTCCGGAAGTTAGACATAATCATGTACATGTACATAGGCGTTCTTGTTATTTTAATAAAATTCCAGAACTTCTTTTCACATTACCCGCATCCTGTCAGTATTCATTTTGCACATTTTAAGTGATGACGTCACCAAACTGGAAGTAAAGTGTAAATATAAACGTAAAATAAAGTATTTCGACCCGAATAAAGGGTTAAACCAAAAAGAGCTTGAGTTTCATACTTTGCCAGTTTTTGCACAAACATATTTATAATTGAAGTGGACGGTGTCAAATTACATACATGTTGTTTTGCGCCCCATCACCCTGTGTTTGTCTCAAAACCAAATGCCAAACCTCTAGTTTATACAGTTTACATTGGGAGTTCTTGATATGCTTACAGTAGGTTTATTCCTCTCATGTGATCAGGTTTTGCACATTCAGTGCCGTTTATTAATTCTTGTGGCCATACACTGCAATCCAGTGGTCCTCGTATTGGGAGGAATTGTCTTGACCCTTCCTACACCCACACACTTACACAAGTGTGTATTTGCCTGCAATTGGGGACCCCCTATTGTCCCTCTTTTGTTTGTACTTTACTTATTTGTACTTATTTTTTAGGAAGACCTCCCATATGTTTTGTACACAATTCCAAATTGGGGACCTCTCGGAAATTGGGGACCCTATTGTTCAATGTCCCCTATTGAAAGCAGAAACAAACTCACAACCATGGCCTTTTACTTATGTTTCTTTGAAATTAATACTCCGTTTTGGGTAAACAGACTTTGTTGGTGTTTTTGCACATTCAGATGCACAGTGTGCAACAACAGATTATCGTCCTGGTACTATGAGAGGGATGGCAAGCTGTACTGTAGGCAGGACTACCAGGCAATGTTTGGAGAGTCCTGCAATGGCTGCGCTCAGATCATCATTGGACCAGTCATGGTAAGATATAAAGACTTGTAGTATGCCACACTGCACAGGCTTAGCCATAACACACGGACAGCAATGAGCAAATAGATCAAGAGCTGTGGTAAGCTCAGTGGCATAGCCAGGGTTCTCATCCTAGGGGGAAAGCCCAATTTCATCCATGCTGAAAGGTAGACAGGTTTTTTCAACGAACACCCGGCCTCCGTAAAATCGAAGGGGGGGATGGACACCATCTTCTCATTGGGGCGCTGTTCAGAAAAGACATCATGGTCAATATCAGAAAATACGGGGCGCTATTCGCTTTCCACAAGATGTTAAACGGCCAATCGCCCAAAAAAAGGGTTTTTTTGTGACAAAAAGTATTTAAACAGAAAACATAAGACTTGATTTTGAACCCGCTAATCATGGTAACTTGACTGTGTTTTTTTTGGGGGGTAGCCAAATTTTCAGTGGAGGCGGGGCGACTGAGGGACAACAATTTTTTTATGGAAGGATGTGCCCCCCACGCCCTACTGTAGCTACACCCCTGGGTAAGCTATAGATTGACTAACCATCAATGAATACATGCTAGTCAACAATTGTTAAACCAGTCTCATTGACTCCGTGTATTTGGTACCAGCGTACTGCAGTTGATTACATCTGTAGTTCTCTACGCTGTAAATCCTTGTTAATCATTTGAACCGTGTTAACCAGGGAGCTACATGTACATATAGGAGCAGAAGATTCTAACCAAACTTTTCCAAAAGGAAGCAAAAGTATCATTCCTTAATTACTCAAATGTTTTGTCCATATTATTGTAAACAATTTCACAGTTGACATGCCAGGAAACACCTCTCCACATGTAAGCGCCAGAAAATTTCAAGAAAATACATTTACTACATTGAATATTTATACAAGCTGCAGGAAGTCCTGAGGAAGATTACCAGTAAAACATGTTCAATGTATGTAAGGATGTTACCAATCCTGTCATCTCTGCAAATAATGGAATAGTTTGTAATTCCTCTTTCACAATGTGTTCACTCATTCTCCTTGTTTGGCACTGTGATGTCAACATGGTGTATCAGCTGATTCCAAGCATTTCCTGATAGCCCAATATTAGTCCGTTGACTCGGTCAATATCCTGCTGTTGTTGACATTTGTAATTATAAGTACAGTCTCCTTCTGTTACTGCTGGGAATTTTCCCAGTGACTTTTTCTTGTTATCAATTACCGTGCAATGATGACCGACACGTACAGTTGATTTGACAAGGTTGTTTTTTTTTCAGAACCAATCAGTCGTAGGGACTATTAGAAAGAGTGTATTTGTGGAATACATGTCGGTCGGGGAAAACATATGTATATTTCACTAGGCACACATACAGGGTTAGTCAATAAAAAGAAAACCCAAATGGCATGACCAATTTTTTAATGAAGTTCTGTATGTAAAGCTTTCAAAATCTAGGATATGAAAGCCCAATTAATAAGCTTTCTTTCAGTGCAAGAATCATTCAAATCACTAATGTACTTTTCAAGTTACGGAATTTTAACACACCGTTTTAGGGTTCTGTCCACGGATCACAAAAAAAGGTAAGTGTTCTTTCAGCAAAACGAAAACAATTCACATAGGGATGTACATGTATGTGAATTATTTTCGTTTTGCTGAAGAACGCACACCTTTTTTGTGATCCGTGGACAGAACTTTAAAACGGTATTTGTGTTTAAAATTCTGTAACTTAAAAAGTATGTGAGTGATTTGAATGCTTCTTGTACTAAAAGAAAGCTTTTTAATTGGCTTTCATATCCCAGATTTTGAAAGTGCTACATGCAGAACTTCATTTAAAATGATCCTGACTTATGGCGATTTTTTTTTCTTTTTTTTTCTCACCCTGTATTTGCATCTCACCGTTTTCACAAATGTGCCTTGCCCATAGTGTATCAGATAAACCACGCAAAGTGGCGATTAATCAGGCAACATTTTTCGAACTCCATACGTCTTCTCTCCCTGCAAGTTTTGCAATGGTCCCAATTGATTCTGAGGGGATGCATGTATACTTGTACCTCCACCTCCCTCTACAAAAAAATACCAACAAAAACAAAACCCCAAAAGCTAACCCCCATAGTTTATTTTAGAGTGGTTGATATTCTCCAAAGAATTTCAAAGTGCGGGTTGATTTAAGAAGGATTGATGACACCTCATGATGTTGATTTAAGAAAATGCACCTTGCATTGTTTACATTCAGTCATGTATGAATGTAGCCCTAAATTATATGGGATATTGTCCTCACTGCTTCAAGGTCTAAAAATCGAGATGGAGGGTTTAGAAGGATTGAGGCAGTGGTCTCCCCTCTACTGAAGAAAATCAAGAAATGACAGATATGATGTAGGAAGATTGATGTGGTATCCTAGTTTTGCATGGAGGCAGTTGGCGGATTTTAGAGGATTGAGGATGCATTGTAGCAAAAAGAGGGTCGAGATCGTAGCAAAAAAGGGTCGAGGGGGGTTAGAACGTTGACCCATATAGAGCCTGAAACCTGTAGCCAAAGCTGGGGACAAAGACAAGACATTTTAAAACTCCCTTCATTTCCAAGAATGACATGTATGATGAAATATGGCTGCTTGTATTTACACCCTTTGAAGTGTTGCTTGCTACATCGTAGTTGTTTTCCTCTTTGCCAGTATATGTATAACCTTGACTTGCTATCGCACTGTGCTTTCCATAAAAAAAAACAGGTCAACTTTTTAATCTCCTTGGAGCTCCTGAAATTTTCAGGGAATCCCCCACGGTCATCTTTATTCAAATTGAAACTGCTCAAACTCTTGTTATGGATGAGTTGGCTTCCGATGGTCACGATTCTACGTATTCATCATGGACCATTAGGAAGTCCACAGGATATGGTACGCTGGAACGACCGGAAAGCCCTCTCGGCATGCTCCATGGACAAGGTTGCATAAATGCTGACGTCCAACCCGCATCAATTACGACATGATTTAAAAATAAACGGGTCCAAATCAACTGTGGCTGCAAATCAACAATAAGTCAGACAGAAAGAGATCATTCATTTGCTCGGCTGTGGTGTTTGTTGCTTCATTGAATTTTGTAACTTGTGACTGTGTTGTAAGCTGCCTGTGTTGAGATGTCTTTGGAATGTCTCCGTATTTTGGTAAGCTTAAATGTCAATGTCCTCAGCAGTGCGTTTAAGTACCTGATGGATGTAGTCATGAAGTAGTTTTGAGGGCCCATAAATTAACTGTATCTTGTTTCACATTTTCCCTACGTCATCTTTTTGGTGTCATGTTATATTTTGGGGTCTCAAGTACATGTATGTCTTTCTATATGCTCACAAGTGAAGTGGATGTGATTCGCAATTCATTCATTAACACAAGTTGGTGATATCATGAACATGTGAACTACATGTAGATGTGTGTAAAGCAATGACTATAGCACTCAGCAATAGTTGTAATCAGTTTCGAAAACACAAATGGTGACTAAAGACTTTGAATTCCAGAGTGGTACCCGGTACATGTACTGGTCAGTATATCAGGTTTATTAGAATTCTGTATAAAAAGTATACTTACGTACAATTGTGCATGCACTGGATAATTAAGTTGTTTCAAAATTGATTTTTTTTTGGGGGGGGTGGGTCTATTTTCTGTGTAGTACGTTGTACACACCATATACCTGTAAATGTATACGTGTAACTTTAGGAAAGTCGTTGGTACTATAATACTTGTGAATTTCAAATACAGATGAAATCAAGCTTTTTGCTTTTCCAATGTAAAAAAAAAATGAATTACTGATGTGGCTTTGTCTTTTTTAAGTTGTGATACTTGGTTCTTTTTTGATTACAAATGCCTATGTACATCATCTCAGAGTATTGCTGTCATAGTGTTCCATATGTGCGGTCATAGGCAACGACGGAAAGGGGGAAGCAAAGAGGGTATTTCCCCTATAAGTTTGAAAACTGTGAATTTTGCCCCCTCCCCCCCCCCCCCCCCCACCACACACACACACAGACAAGCGCGTTCACACCGTTGATCATGGACATCCTATTGTCCCCCTTTTGTTTGTACTTTAACTTTTTAGGAAGACTCCCATAGGTTTGTACACGACCCCAATCGCGAACGTATGTATGCTGGGAATCGTGGACAATATTGTTCTCTTTTGTTCTCTGGAATTATTCGTTCACGGTTTGAATAGATGGACACGCCCACACTCACGTTTGTTTATGGTGTAAGTCGAGGATTTTCTATTGTTCCTCTTCCCTTTTCCTTTGTTTGTACTCCTTTGTTTTAACTTTTTCGCAACAGCTCTTATTGGTTTTGTACACGTTTTCCAACCAAGGAGTCCTCGATTCGGATTCTGACCTTGATTCACTGATGATGTTGCACGTGTGTGTCCTCGATTTACACCATAAACAAACGCAGAGATTCAGAAACATTCTGTCCACCTTTTCATGCAAAACAGTATCAGTTTTCCTGTGAGCACAAGTGAAATATGGAAATGCATTGCCACAATGCCAAGAGCAGATTGGCATAGAAGTATAATGAGCCTTGTACATTGGGCAAACTATTCAACCACATGGGTGTCAATTTATATTGCAAGGTGGTGGTGAAAACATCCTGAAGTGTTTCGGGTATTGGAAATTTAATCTGTCCATTAATTTTATTCCAACTGCTTATAAAATAACTGAAAATAAAATAGTCATTTCATCAGTGTTGGCTTTGATTTTAACAAAAGTGACCTGTATACTTTGAAGGCTTAAACACCTGTTGAGATTATATCCCCACGGAAATGACAAGTCTGCAATTAATTTTTATTCTGACTTCCCAAAGTCTGTAAAAATTTTTAACCAACTTTTGTTTTTATCAGCACTACACTAAAAAAGATCAAAATGTCAGTGCAACAAGTTTAGTCTCATGGGTGGAACAAGTTTAGTCTCATGGGTTACTATTCAGTAGCAGACTTTGCCACATTCGTGTGTGCTTTGAACTTGGGCGTCAGTTATAAAGTAAACACTTTCACATGGTGACTTGAATCAGGATCCAGATTTTGCACCAAATCTCGAACTAGATATGAGAGTTCAGTAGTCCATCCAATCATCGTAGCCTTACTCCACCAATCGTTTTCCCCAGAGTAGGTCACATGTGGTCACATGGATCAGCCTTGTTCCGTTGCATTTCCTCTATGAAAGAAGTACACGCCCCTCCCTCTCCCCACCCTAGTGCCCTATCTGTCACATTTACAACTTCCACAGATCAAATGCCAGGCTAAATCTTAAAAGCAGCCTGGTTTTCACTTGAGGAAATACTCATTAGCCATTGGCTAACAAGTCTCAGACATTAGCTTCCTTTGCCGTGTTTTCTTTTCCCGCCAAAAATCGGACAGTCACTTCTCTCCAGAGCCTAGCGCTGGACACTTAACTTAACTTCGTTACTTGGAGGATTTTCTTTCACAAGGAGTTTGACTCAGCAGTGATTTAGGTATTTTCATCTGAAAGTGGCGAACTTGAAAGAAAATTATTGAGTAAATATGTTTTTGCTGCCATTTTGTTACTTTCTGTGGAGGAAGCTTAAGGTAAGCCTGACCAAAAGTGTTGTTGGACAATGTCTGTAAATAGTAACAAAGGAATCCAGGTGGTTTAGAGCAAGCATCACATTACAACTTGTTGAACTCTCTAACTACCAAGGATGTCCGGAGTTGGTTTTTTGTAGTTTCATCACAATTGTTATTGTCTTTTCTTCTCAGAAAAAATGTTTGCCAGGAAGGAAACTAACTAGAGTAGGTCAACCACGCATGTGACCAAATAACCCACCCAGATATTTGTTTCTCTCTTTTGGCAATTTGGGAAAGACACTGAACTTTCTCTGACTGTGTGTGGTTGAAATGCAATACAAGCAAAATCTCCACCTTCGAGGATGTGAATCAGACAAAGTTCAGCCACAGATATTTTTAATTTGATGGCTCACTTTTCTTTACAATCTGAATTGACGTTGTTTTACTTGGTAGGTTGCTGGGGAGCACAAGTACCACCCAGACTGCTTTGTATGCATCAAGTGCAGTGTGTTCATCGGCGATGGTGATGGCTATGCATTGGTGGAGAGATCTAAACTCTACTGGTACGTCAAGCACTGAATCAAATCTGGCAAACACTAATAAATGGTTATCTTTAAACTGAAGTTCCCTTGATTGGAGAAATATCTTATACACATGTGTCAAAGACTGTTGTTGAAGTATGATTCTACAGGCGACTGTGGTTGGCCATATCAAAAAATATATATAAATTAATCAATTAATATTTCTAGCTTAGAAAAAAATACTGTTTAAAACAAACATTTTGTCAAAATTTTTTTTTTTTACCTTTCCTAAAAGTAACAGATTTATGGGATATCCTCCCCTTCACAAAGTTATAAGAACTACCGTTATCAAAAAATATCCTCTTAAATTGATTGCCTTCAAAGCAAACCAGTTGCCTCCTGCCCCCCCCCCCCTTCTGAATTCAAAGTTTGTAGTGCATTTACTTGCAATCATCAGTCTTATCATACTTATGTTACTTCCTGTTCATAGTATCTTATCAGCCGGAGGTCAAATATTATTTTCTTGGAACTTAAAACTGTGTGACTTTTAGCAATGATCTCAACTAAATTAGGCCATTGTTTCCTAGTCAAAGAAAGTAACGCAACTAAGTTAAGAGTAGCTTTCAGATAATCTGGCCTATGATGCACAGTACTAACTTAAACCTCACAAAAACCAGTTGATCTATGTTGTTACGCCTCAGTGATTCCTAATGGGATGCCATTTGCTGAAAACATTAAACCCGTAATCCTGAATTCATATTACATTTGAGTATGTTTTACAATAAAGTTGAGTTTCTTTTTTGGCTAGCATATTTGTTTCAGTCAATGTCTGGTCTTCAAATGTTCTTCTTAAAATTTTCTTTTCAAAGTATTTTCTTCTGCTTTCTCGTTTCAAGTGGCCAGTGCTACCACAACATACTGGTACCCATCATCTCCACGTCCCCAGACACCAGGGCTCCCCATACCGTCCAGCTGGTTACCATACCGCCAACTCCAGAGGGCCAGAAGAGGTTTTCCGTAGCGGTGGAAGAGACTCTGCAATATCCAACGTCACCAACACCAGAAACTGAAAGGGTTTCCATGCGGGGACTATGTGTTAAAGAGTGAGTCCAACATAATGGAGATATTTGGCACACATATTTTGGCTTAGAGGCAATGCACAGCGCGTACCAAAATACCCGCAACTTTTTTTTGCGAGGCTCTAGTGTCGGTGCGGAAACACGTAGCGCCATTATTTGTATACCATTTTAAAGTTGGAATCTTAACTTTATCTCTGGCATGTATTGGTTTGATATGTAAAAGAGTTTTAAAACTATTCGTGTTCAAATAAAGGCATGTCGAAAAACAAACTCAACCGATTTCAAGGAAAATCGATGATGCGGTACATCAGATGCAAACTCGACTCAACAAGCTGTTGAAATAACGACAAAAAACAACTGTTGATTTGTATTAAAAACAAATTGAACTTGAAACGAAGAACAATATTGTGAATTAATTAAGGTGTAGTCTACGTGGATCAAAAAAAAGGAAGCACAAAGAGTAAAAGGCAACGAGATCGTCACATCATAAACTTGATGAACCATTTCCACATTAGAAAAATGATTGATTTTCCTTGAAATCGGTTGAGTTTGTTTTTGATATGCCTTTACTTGAACACAAATAATTTCAAAACCCTCTTGAAAATCAAACCAATACTTACCAGGGATAAAGTTAAGATTCCAAGCTTTAAAATTATATAAAAATAATGGCAGTACGTGTTTCCGCGGCGATGCTGGAGCCTCTCAAAAAAATGTTTCGGATATTTTGGGACGTGCTGTTTACCATTTTCATTTGTTGAAATTTTATGATATGGTTCGATTTAAGGGCTAGTTATTTATAGCAGACATCATTCCACAGACCTGTTCAATGTTTTGTGCCGGTGTCCATTAGTGCTGGAAAAACACGTTTTGTTTTCAACTGTGTTAAGTGCAGCTCACTGAATTTGTCATGCATTAAACCACTGTGTCGTGGGACAAATTACATCCAACGTACCTAACGTACCGAGTGTGCACACGAAGTCAGAAGCTGGCTCATGCCTGTTAACGGATCCCTAATGTTCATGTAGTATTTGAAACAGCCGTTTTTTTCATCACAGTGATGGTTCGTACCGAACCATCATTAGTACTGATACAAAAATCCTATTTTATTTTTAAATGACAGCATACCAGGCGGAACAATTCCACAGTATGCTTGATACTATTATTTACATACAATCAAGTACATACCATTTCATAATATTTTGGCAATTTTGTTTTTGAATGTTTTCAAATGGTATCTAGATGTACATTCAAAAGCAGGATACCAGCCAAACTGTCATTTACATGTAGTGTGTATTACTTGTTACTACTGCTCTATTTTTTTGCATATTTGTTCATAGGCCTAATGGTAATAATAAAAATAATACCGGTGTCTTATACAGCGCACGTAGCTACCAACAATTAGGTACTCAATGCGCTGGTAATATGTCTATTTTTAAAGACAGGTAAATGAAGTTTATGAGAAATATGAGACTCATTACATGTATGTAGCACCTTTATAAGGCCAGTGTTACTGGATTCTTGAATGTGCATTACACAACACACGGGACCTACAGCTTTACGTCTAAGCTGAAGGACGAAGCAATAATGGTAAAGTGCCTTGCTCAAGAACACAAGCACCATGTTCCCACGGTCAGGAGTCGAACCCATGTTCCACGGCACACGATTCGAACACTGTAACCATTGGACCACAGCACCCCACATGTATATATGCCTACATGTATACAGTGAGCTCAGCCATATTTGTGGCGTTGCAGCTTAATGAATAGAACCCTTTCTAAAAACAACTAGTACAGAGCTTAATTTGCTCGTAGCAATTCAATTTCCAGGGAGTAATTAGGAGCACTTACATTTTCAGGGGGGGGGGGGAATGAAGTGTTGATCTGTGGCACTTGCAACCTTTTCAGTAATTGTGCATGTATTATACATGCACTTCACACCAAGGTGATCTGAAAATCCCACATACTTTGGAGCACACACATGCTGTTGCCTTAGATATACCCAAGGTGCGATATATAAAGGCATGACAATATCAACCCAGAATATCATAGACACTGGGCTGAAAATAGTTAATGAAAACCCTTTACATACATGTACATGTTGATTTCTTGGTGAACATTTACTGTTTGACATCTGAGGATGCTGTCATGGTTAAAAATACACAGCATACTTGTTTTATTGCACGTTTTTAAGCAGTACCCGCTGCTGTATAAGATTCCAACTGGTAAGCCAACTCATGTCAAGCTTTGTGTTTGGGTGGAGAGGTCTGCACTTGCGTGTAAGAGATCGTAGGTTCCAGTCCACAAAACAAGCGGGCATTTATTTTTCTCACAAGCATTTGAACTTAGTATAGTTTTTGCATTACAGAATTACGTCGGTTAAGGGCATAAAATTAATAGTTGCATCACCCTGACACAAAAGTCCATCAAAATAGTTTGCTTTTTAAGGAAAAATGCAATGTACATGATTGTAATGTAAGTAAAAATCTGTTACATTTTTTGTTTTTTAGGAAATTTAAGATATTCTGTTTTATGGAGGGATAAATTTTTCAATAATTGTGCCAGTCTTTGAACATTAGTTGCCTTTTCTGCTTAGGAGTCTTTGGTTATAATCTGATAATGAAGGAATTATTACAAGATTAAGCTAGTTAGGATGTAGTCAATATCAGTAGGTCAATCAGGCATTGTGTCCAAGTTGAACGCTAATCCTTCTAACAAGGTACGTCCATGTTTTCTTGACCAACACCCTCTGTGGGTAGTCAGCTCTGCTGGGACAGTTTGATATGGATAGATCACATTGCTCTTGACAGTGTTTCCCCTGGCTAATGAACTGAGCGAGGTGGTAAAATATCAAATGATGTTTGAAACAAAATTTACGCAGTCTGGGCAACTGAAAAGAATGTAGCGCTCACAAAAATCGCGATTCTGTCTTCACATTGAAATTGTGAGTTCTTGATGCATAGAGGTCAAGAAAAACGCTTTTAAATTACGCAAGATAAAAACTTTTCAATTAGTATTCTTTTATTGCCAATCTTCACAGCAGGGTGATGATATTGGCAAAAATTGAGCGAGTGGTCACTGAAAGTAGCGAGGTGGGCGGCCTCATGTTTGAATGGGCAGGGGAAACACTGGCTCTTGATGAATCTCCTGTGTAACAAATTTCTGCTACATTGCCATGCCGCACGCATATATTTGTCTATTATAAGCAATTGTATTTTTTTCTAAAATAGGTATTTCTAAAATAAGGGATGTTACTGTCGTTTAATCCTTTTGTCTGCTGTACAACTGAGCTACATTTGGTTAGGCTGGTTTTATGAAGATTCCTTTTTTCCCCTTTTTTTTCTTGACCATGGGTTTCCCAATCGCATTTGGGGATTCTTATTTATCATGTAAGAGAACTAGTAATTTCCAAAGCTCTGACTTCCATGTAGGTGGCCTGGCATATCTGAGAATACAACATTTCCTGAAATTTAAAATATCATCCCTCATGCATATTTATGTACATCATGTACTTCAAATACGTCAAAAAGTTTGTGGAAAACTTGGCGATTTACGTGCTGCTTTGTGACTTGCGTGTATCAGGGATGCAGGTTTTCTGGTTATAGCGAAAAATCCTGGCATTTTTAGGGGAAAAAATCCTGCATTTCATTCCATCAAAGGCCAGAAAATAAATTTTGGAGTTGTGTGCATGGGAAAAAAATTTAAATATGAAAATCGGTAGTGCATTGTTTGATTGTCGCTCATGAGCCAATAAGAGAATTGATCAAGCATAGGTTTTCTGCATAGACTTACCGCAATCACATTGTATAGCGAACGATAGTTTAAAAGTCAAGTGTACTATGCGAGTCTTGTTCATTGTACATGAGCTGCTCCATCACAATTACATGTTACACGAATTTATCATTTGGTACGTTCATTGTTGACGTATTACGATTTGAGTATGTACAATGTATGGTGTATTGCGATCTTGGCAAAGTGTTTATCAGATCCAAAATACTCCTCTGACTCCCAGAAAGCTTGGTGGTCAAGTATTAATAATTTGCAGGAGGTTGTGGGTTCGAGTCCAACCAAGAAGTCTTGTGCATTCCTGCACAAGTCCTCAGACAGACTTTACATTGATGATGACAGGCAAAAACCTTTATTGAAAACTGTGGAAATATCTTCCCAGTTTCATGTACATGTATGTACTTTATGTTTTTCCTCTTCTGCCAGTTTTTATCATCAGGGGACAAGGTAAGAATTTCTGTTTCCGTAATCTGTTGTGCATTACATGTACATACCGGTACATGTCATGTACATTCACATGTAGGTTGATAACATCTTTGTAAGTATGTACCAGAATGTATGGTATGCATCTCCATTTTAACATTTTGAAGATAACATTTGTAACCAAATTGATTAAGCCTAGGTTGCAGACAGTGTGAATTGTTCATACAGTGCGCCGTACAAACCATGCGACCAGTTGACAGATTATTATTCCCAAAATAAATAATATCTAACAATCCCATTTGAAATTTGGGCCCATTTTGTAAATCAGTTGCATGCTTTGTATTAGTGTGATGAGCATGGTGTATGGTCATCATTTGGGAAAAGAAAAAAAATACTGAGCATAACATATATATGTACATGAACCTACATGTACACGTAAAGAGTTAATGAAATGTATAAAGCAGTGATAAAAACTTGTACATTGTGTTCATGTTTAATGTGTATACTTTTACAGGTAATAATTTTTTTTAAGGGAGCAGCTAGTCAGTAGTCTGTGCATTGCTGGGAAGTTTGACCCAGATCATGTGGTGTATCTGTTCATGAATGTATACATGCATTGACCTATACATGTGCGTTATTTATATGCAAGACAGCTGTTCTCAACTAGACTAGGGAGCCTGCATTTTTGGAGTTCTGTAATCATATATAATGTCAGGAAGATCCACCCCGTGATAAAACCACAGGTATGGGAAATATGACATTGCAACCAGATTCTATTTTTGGCAGTATACACATGCAAACTATGCCACTTTCAGGTAATAATAGACTGGATCATTGGCATTGTGATGAAGCTATGGTACAGTCAATTGACCTGTACCCAGGAACCAAAACACTTGTCTTGCTATTACCCCTGATAGATGGGCCAATTATCCTGAGGAACCCGCCCACAAGTCTCATCGAAATTTAAAAAAGAACAACCCTCTTGACATTCAACTCGTGGCTTTTTACTATCTGCTGCTTACATTAAGATTCATGTATAAGAAGATAAATGTAAATCAATTAACATCCTCAGCACTTAGCTTAAGTTGCAAGTGTTTCACAACATCAAACAAGAGCTTTCTGTTTAACACAATGTCAGCCCCACATTTGTAGTTCAGTAGTTTCTGCTTAAAGAGGTTGTGGAATGCTCGAAGACATTTCCGTCATTTTTTGGGTATATGTAGCCTAAGGTGTGATGAAATAAAAACGACTATTGTTTCTGTCATGAAATGAGTACAAAGGGTACTTTTGAAAGCTATTTTTCAGGACCTGTTTCGACCCGAATGTGCAATTTGTGTAAAAGTCGTCGTTGCGGGCAGCAAACAAAACACAGTAAATCGTGACGTAATAAACAGGACTCGTTTATGCTACTCTGCATCGGGAGTCCTGTTTATTACGTCACGATTTACTGTGTTTTGTTTGCTGCCCGCAACAACGACTTTTACACAAATTGCACGTTCGGGTCGAAACAGGCATGACAGGACTTGAAAAACAGCTCTCAAAAGTACCTTTTGTACTCATTTAATGACAGAAACAATAGTCGTTTTTATTTCATCACACCTTAGGCTACATATACCCGAAAAATGACGGAAATGTCTTCGAGCATTCCACAACCTCTTTAATGCTTTATTATGTTTCAAAGTTTGGTTGGCTGAGTACTAGTGCCAATGTGTTATACATAGAGTTTTTCTTACAAGAGTCACCCATTACACAGCCCTAGTTCACAGTCACTCAAGGTGAGAGCTAAATAATTTATAAGAAGGGATAGAAAAGGAAATTATCAAATAAAAAGAAAAATTACTTTAAGTAGAAAGACACATGTACATATGTAAGTATTGACGTTACACTTGCAGTGAGACTGAAAAAAAAAACAAGATACAGGTAAGGGGTTCCGTAGTGAGGCAGTGGATGGAAAGAAACTGAATGAATACTTCTTAGAATTTGCTTTAGGAACAGTGAGTGTATGTGGATGTGAGTGGATGGTGAAGTGTGTAGTGTGCCCAAGGGGACGATTAGGAGGTACAACACAGGAAGACCGTTGCAGCACTTCCCATGATAATATCTGTAACACAAGCACAGTGAGGCAACAGAGTGACGACGTGAGAGGTTCCAGAGAGGCAGCTAACTCATAATCCATAAGATTGACTATCTGAATGTTTTGTCTCGCCTCTAATTATATATCATGAAATACGAGTCTCTTCCCAGGCTTGATATTCCATTTTGTTCAAGTACAAAGAATACAGAATCGGTTTTAATCATACAGTGTTTAGGTAGCAACCTATCATAATATGCCTAGCGAGTTAGGTACATTATTTTGCTGCTGCAGAATTTGAATTGAGCTATTAAATGAATCCAGTGTGAAGTTGCATTAGCATTACTTTACTCAATTCCACCTGTGATCATGTGATGAACTCGGTCGAATCCCTCCAAGTATGATACCAGTGATGTAGCAGGGTTTGAGTACCAAGTTGACTGCCAAATATTCAGCTAATTTGGTGTTAACAAATCAAGAAAATACGGATATTAAAACCCTGAAATGCTAGCTCACAAAATAAACAGGAGGGCAAAGTGGACATGGCTGAAAAGTGGAACATTTATGAAATCTTCAGAATAACAAATAAAAGGGGACAACAAGACCTTGTATGTGAGTGGTGTGCCAGTGAGATTAAGTGTGATTAAATGTGGTTACACAGATTTTGTTTTGGTAAAAGGCACGTTACGTCTGTAACATTATATAATGTAACGTCCATAAAAACAGAAACATGTATCCATAACGTCAAAGTTCCTTTTTGTAAAATGTCATTGGTGTTTTTATAGAGTGAAGCTATATCTACCACAGCATAGTTATTTAAATAAATTCTTGCAAGAAACTTCACAGACTTTTATCAATGCATATTGAAAATCAAAAACCTATGTCTGAAACCATAACATCTGTACGTAACAGTCATTTACAGCACTTGCTTATATCTCATTAATTAGTTCAGCTAACACTACATTAATGTCATGTTGTACATTAAGCCCTAAGCCAGTGTTGTACCAAATATGTAACATTTGTTGACATCGCAAGTATGTTGTTTTGTTGTTCCTAATTGGTCTTAGGTTCTGAATGTAACGTCCGTAACATCCAATGGAATTGCCCAGGACTGGAAAGTCTTCAGGACAAGTGGTCAAAACAAACTTGTTCAGTACTTTTCAGATTTACGTACTGGATTTGGTTTTAATTCCCGTCATGTGACTTTGGTTCTGCCAAGATTTGATCTTTGTGGTTTCCCCTCCAGCTTCAACCTAACAATTCCTTCCCCTTGCTCTTGTCAGGTTCTCAGTCACCTTGGCTGAGTGCCAGAAACAATCGAGCAGTAAGCAATGTGTGCATTCACATTTCGTATTACTCATATTATATTGCAACTAATGTTTGGTAGATGTTTTCATAGTTCTTATGATCTCTGTGTTGTTGTTTTTTGCTTTTTTTTAAATATTTTTTTTTCTTTTCATTTTTAAAACATTTCTTTTTCATTTTTTAATACAGTGTTGACTCCCTCCCTGCCGAATCAACTCTTAGAGTTGGAGACAGAATTCTGGAGGTCAATGGAACACCTGTCAGGAAGCAAAATTTGCATGAGGTGGGTTTGTCAGTCTGTCTGTCAGTCAAGCTGCTGTCTGTCTAGTTGTTGACCATTCACAGTTTCATTGAAAGCTTCTGTTAATTCCAATTTTGTGGTACAGGAACCAGCGGGCAGTTTTCAGCTCAGCACACATTGTAATAAAGCACAAATTGCAATAAAGTACAAAAACTAGTTTATAAGACTAGTTGAAGTGATGTCTATTGAGTAGTCCTCAGCAACTGTTTTGCTCAGCGTCAGTCTGCTTGACAGTTCTATGAGATAGGGCCCAGTTGACATTCCCCATCAAGCTGTCTTCACTTGACTCACATGAATAGGTTACTCAGCATCCCTTCATTATTGTGGCACAGTCCTTACAGTAATACAGAATGTCATTCAATCTTATCATGCTTCTCTTAATAATTGATTCTATTCTACCCAACAGCTTGATAGGTTAATCAGCCAAAGCACGACTGAGCTTCATCTGACCGTCGAGCACGACCCCCAGCCTGCCTCCACGTCAACAAAAACAACCAAAACAACAACAACAACGACAACAACAACAGATTCTCCTGTGACAACTCAGGAGCACCATTCCACAACCTCGACATCAGTGATTATCAAACCAAAGACATTAAACCTAGCAGCTAGACAACAGATCCAACAGAATCAGGAAGATAAGGAGAGAAAGATGAAGTTGGAATTAGACCTCCCTATCACAAGGCCAGAGAGAGGCTCATCCTTGTCCAAAATGTGAGTAGAATAACGGCAGTAAACATTTTACAATATTATTTATGTCAGGTTTCCAGTGGTAAAAATAAATCAGCGTATTGTATGTTTTCGTAAAAAGTACCCGGATGACTGCAATAATATTAATGTTGAGTCTTCCTGGCATTTTTGCTGGTTCCTGCACAATTTAGAGCGTAGAAAGTCACAGCTTTTTGGGTGCTATCACTTTTTTTAAAAATGATGGCCAAAACATGCTTGTTACCACATATATTTAATCCAGAACCAAGCATATTGGCGTCCATTTTGAAGAAGAAAAATTTCAAAGTGATAACACCCAAAACACTGCCACCGCTCACATTGCTGTCACACATTTTCCAACTCTAGATGTGCATACCTTGCCAAAAATCGCTATGAGCATTGCTTCTTTTGATCATTTGATACCAGTAGCCCAGTTTTTGGACCGAAGCTGATAGCCTAAATGCACGTTCCTTAAATCAAATTTACGCTTGCTTCCCGCTTGTCATAGTTTATTTTCTTTAGATAGACCGATTTTAAGACTTAAAGTCCCAGTTTATCCCATGGATTAGGCAATCTTTATTGGACCATGGAATGGGATGAGAGGTGATTCATCAGTAGCTGATGTCAAAGGTCAAGTTATGGCACAAGGCACCCCTTCCCCGAGTGGTTAATAAATTGTGAAGACATCCTTTTCTCCAACAGGTGACATAAGCGATGTGCAGGATGAACACGGTTGATATCATTTGGTGTGCAGTGTAATATTTATGTGATGCAATTAATAATGGGGGCGCTGTTCAAAACCGACGATTATGCACACAAAGGGCCAATATATGGTGCTTTTCATGGCGATACATGTGCGAAATTCAGAAAAAGGCACACAAAACGGCAAATACCACAAAAAAGGCACCACTTCTTTTCTTAAAAGGGCACTTGTTCAGAAAAAAAGGGGCACAGATCGTACAAAAAAGGGCACTCTTTACAAATTATTGGGGGGTCAGCACGTTGAAAAAAGGGCATTTGAATGGAAAAAGGCAGTCTTTACAAAATATTGGGGGGGTTTACATACACGCCCCCCCCCCCCCCCCCCCCCCCCCTGCTGGCTACACCTATGGTGATGGAGCTGTTACAAACGTGTGGTTTCAAACCGGTTATGGGTCTTGCCGCTGATAGTGGCCCGAGCCTAAGACGAGGGCTATTATCGACAACCATGCCTCTATTAAACCAGTTTTAAACATCACATTAAAGATGTACATGTAGTCCATCGTTTGTAATTTGTGCATTTTGTTCGTTTGAAGCAACAAAAGTGTTAAAAATCTAAAGAATGGTGCTGAACAACTAACCTGATGCAGTTTCAGCTCAGCTTCAGGTGTATATTTTGAGATAAACAGCATTCTAGGATCTCGATTTCAAATCAAAAGTTGCTGAATCATGTTTTGAATTGGGCCTGAATTCAGCGTCCAAGACACGTTCTCACTGAGCCGATTGTAGCTACGCGATGTCACGCACCGATCCCACGCACCGTTGGAAAGCCCTTCTTTCGTTGATTTCTTCAACATGACAGCTTGCCAGAGAGAATAATTTCACAGGGAGTTTAGTCCACTTACTATCTTTCAACAAAGTATGTTTGCCAACAATAATTACGTCAGTTACTTTTTGGATAGCTGCAAATGATGGACTATAGCTTTAATAACTGCCACATCACACTATTATCCCTATATAAAGACCTTTTATGTTAAAAACCATAAAAAGTTGAAAAGATGACCAACTTTTACAATTTACTCCATGTTCAGGACTTTTCTACAGTGCACGCGACGTTTGCGGTATGCTGAACCTCTCCTCATATATGGAGATCATATCAGTAGCTCTCAAGCCAGCAGAGCGTACTGCGCGCATGTCGCGCGGAGTGCGTGTGCTCGCGGCCATTGCAAACATCGCTGTTTAAATACTGAGCAACATTTTAACAGCAGTTTAAAACCACCCACGTACATGACGGGTTGTCAACCAGTAGGAATGGATAAACTCTCTCAGATGCAACAAAGTACATGAACAAGCTACAGTACATTATGATGCCAACGACAGTCGTTCGTTGAGTACATTATCCAAGAAGACACAGTGCATTGATCACAAACATATGTTGAATCTTCTGGCATTGTTCATGTGGTTTGTATTCCCTTGTCAGTAAAATGACGTCTTGGTTGCATCGCTTGTCTACTATGATCTGTTTGTCCCCCAGAGTTGCAAAATATCACAATGCTCCATAGTCTGTGTGTGACAGCTGTCTCATCAACTGGGACATTTTTCCTAACAAATACAAGTAGATTTTCAGTGATTTGACAGTTGTTTGGCAGCTAGCTTGCAGAGTCATGCACCAGTGTACCCTGAGGATTGCTACTTTGGCTACTGCTCCTAAATTTTAAAGATCATTTGCAGCTATCCAGAAAGTAACTGAACAAATTATTATTAAAAAGTTTACTCGGTTAAAAGATAGTAATGGCACTAAACTCTCTGTGAAATTATTCAGTCTGGCATGCTGTCATTTTGAAGAAATTGTTGAAGGCATTGTTGCCACATGTTCACAACATCCTTTTAGGCTCACAGGATTGAATTGTTACCTTCTCAGTTACAGTCTCACTAAATCCAACAGCCAATTTATTTTTGTGTCGTTTGGTAAATTATGTAGATGATGTGGACTATACATCTTTTAACAATCCAGCATTCACTTCTCCTATTCAAACCATTCAAACCAAAACAAGTATGTTGTTTTTGTGTTTCTCCCACTTCCCTTGTAAAAAAAGTTCCATGTGATGGAATATTTAAAAAAGACTTTGGATTAAGATTTTTGTGCATTACCTCTTTTATCAAGTGGCTCTCAAACTGAGTAATGTAACCAAATAATGGACACAAGGATTGATTTATCAAATAATGAGCAATCATTGCATGCCTTCAAACATAAAGTACAGTTTGCAGCTTTTGTGTGCCGGTGGTGGGTGGGTGACCAGCACATTAAGATTGGTCAAACTATTTGACCTCGTCTTCTAACTGTGTCAGTACATGGCTATGTCCCAAAGGAGAAATTATTTTTGCAAGACAAGTTATTAAGATAAAGTATTATCCATTGATCTAATTCTCATCTTTCATCAGTAGTTAAACCCAAAATGCTGTTCAGTAGTTAAACCCAAAATGCTGTATAACAATTCTGCAAAAAATGAATCTACATGTACAACAAATCTGTTTTCCTAAACTGCACTCAGCTGTGATTTTTCTGACCTTGGATTCACTATTTTTGTTACAGTGCTGGGCTATTTATAGACAAGTGAAGAAACTGCTTTTTTATTATTGAATTACTGAACTAACTTCCGCTCACAGAAACTTTTTTGAAGTAGTAGAGAAAATGATGGTGCTGAAAATCTCTACCATTGGTAAAATAGGGCACTTTATGGTGCTGCTATACTTTTGTCCTCGAGCATGATATTTTACTATGATTTGTTTCACATCATGGAAAGTGCCTTTCAGTGGTAGTTGTCTTCTTTACAACGAACGTACTCGGTAAAGTTTAAAAATGCTTTGCATGATAGTCAGGGGTAATAATCACATAATATGACTTCACTTGTCCTTATTCAGATGTTATTTCAATGCAAACCTTTCTACTCATCAAATACATCATCAATCATTATTTGAACCTTAACTTTGAAAACTGCGCATTCACATACGTATATCTCCCCATGGAATAAAAATTAGGCAGTTCCTCCAAATGTTCAAATATGTCCGTTAACATTATGTTCCCTATCAATTTTCTGTCGCGCACCCTTTTTTGCAAACTGAAACCCTGGATTGTTTTGTAATTGGGGTATTCCCAGGAGACCAGTGATCTCATATCCTCCCATACCCCCCCCCCCCCAGCCAGTTGTTGGGGAGGGGAGTCACTGCTACTTACAGTGGTGTGAAGGGGGGATGAGGTACTTACAATCAGTCACAGATTTTGTTTTGTGGCGTTGCATGGCACGTACTTGGGGGTTACGCAGTTAGTACTTGGATGTTGTTGAAGGGGAGTCGTGTTTAACTTCTAGCTGAGTGTAGCGTGCAGCATAAGCTGAGAAGTCACGCGTGGAACTATGGCGGTTATATTTCAGTGTTGGTACCAGCTTTTGTGAGTATTTCATTTAAAAGAACTGTTCTTTTTTCTTCTTCGAAAACGATCTCAACCTTTCATTTCTGTAATTTTTTTTAAAATTCTTTCCTGTAGAGAAATTGAAGGTTTCTCAAAAGTAGCAGTTAAACTGGAAGTTTGAAGAAACCTAGAGGGAGAATCATGAAAAAAATTTCAATTTCAGAGGTGGGGGGAAAAGCCTGGAAGGTTTTATGGGAAACTTGCAGAATCAGATAGGGACTGAAAACCCAATTCACATCTTGACTTCGGTGTGATTCTAAAGGTACATGTTGAAACCAAGGGAACTTCCACTGTTTCTCAGATGTTGGAAATGTTGATCTGATGGCCATTAAGTTGCAGGTTTTATTGGTCTTGCCATGCACATGTACATGTATGCAAACACGTAGAATGTGTCATATGATTAAAGAATCTACAAGATGGAAAATGTTAGAATTTCCTGACAGAATTTATTTATCTGTAGTGGCCCACCTCCAATGTAGGGGGACGGAAGGAGGTCAGTCCAGCTAATTAAAGTGGACAAGCAAATCAAATCACAGGATGACAACACTCTGATTAGTTAATGTAACTAACAACTTGTAGATTTATTCAGTAGCACCTCACATCAGGGTAGAATGAAGCAAACTACAGCAAAATCCTGGTTGAATAATCCCCAGTCGGACAAAAAAAACCATTGGGGTTTCCTGAATACTTAACGTCTACCTCAGCACATAAATGTAATGGATGAAAGTCATGCTACCATTGAGAAAATAGTAGAAGTCGGCAATGACAGGCGACATTAGAACTGTAACTTACGAAAACTACAGCCATACAGTCATTCTTGGAAAAACCCAAGTGGGAG